AAGGACAGAGTATATAAAGCAAGGGAAGAAAGGGAGATAGAAAGAGGAAGAGGATGTTATCTTCTCCCTTTCCACCCCTTTAGCCTCCCAACCTTTCTCTCCCTCCCTCTCTCCCTCTCCCCCTCCTCCCTCTTTCTCTCCCTAACCACATTAAGACTAAGCCTCCCTCACCCCACCTTCACCCCTCTGAGCACTTCTACCGGCACACACACACACACACACACACACACACACACACACACACAGGAGCCTCTATTCTCTTCAACATCCTCATCTCAAGAAAACTTCAGTTCAGCTCAATTACATGTTTTTTTCTCAAAGCCTACAGATGGATGGACCCCCACATTACATATGTATATGGCAAATGACTCCACCATGATAGTAGTCCATGGAATAATTATAACTTCAATTTCGCCTGTAAATAATGGTGTTTCTCTTCTATTGTATCTGCATTGGTACTTTTTTTTAGGTTAGGTTAGGTTAGGTTAGGTAAAATTAAGTTAGATTAGGTTAGGTTAGATTAGGTTCGATAACGTTAATTTAGGTCAAGTTAGTTTACTATTGTACCTGCACATTAAAACTTACTCCAGACAATGAACACAGGCGCAGGAGGAAAGACACGTCAGTTACGACACCCGGAATTACGTAGAGGTCATAAAAGAGGGCAATTTCCTCCTGTGTAAATCATACCAGCGAAGTGACGAGCGACTCTGGCCTTTCGAGCTACTCTACATACGACTCACATTACTGTATCTTATATCCTGTGCAGTTTTGTCTTTAAGTTAACTAGCGAGAGAGTTAATGTTTCCCACCAGAATAAAGTACCTGGTCCTAATTGTCTTGTTTGGGTTCACTTCATTTCATATCTAGGTTAACTCGCTTACCTGTATTATACTATTAACACCTGGCAAGTTTTACACCTGTTCTTTATACCGAAATCTACACCTGGGAATTAAGTATATACCTGTACTTTATACCTGGCTGTGTGATTGTATTTGGTAGTTGTGTGCGTGTGTGTGTGTGTGTGTGTGTGTGTGTGTGTGTCTTTTGATAAATATCGACTTGTAATAATACCCAAACTATTAAATAAAATATAACTATGAATAACATCAATGAAAATAAATAAAAACTAATCTCACGCTGATAAAAAATTGTAGCCAAAATGAACACCAAATAGCCAACACACGAAGATTATAGCCAAGAGCAATACTAATAAAACAAAAAAAGTAGCCAGCACGAACACCTCTCTTACTACGAACACTAATCATGGCCAGCACCACCTCACCTCACCTCACCTCAACTGTACGCCAGGTTAATGAGATCTAATTATAGAAACCATAATTCAGATGCTATTGTCGTCTTGGTCAGTCGCTTTCTACACCTGTCGACGTGACCAGGTAAAGAGAGGAGGAGGAGGAGGAGGAGGAGGAGGAGGAGGAGGAGGAGGCTTCTGGATGCTGGATGCCTGTCTGGAAGCTTTCTCTTCGGTGCCACGACTCCACCCTACCTGAGCTGTTTTTGTTGTTACCACACACACACACACACACACACACAGACACACACACACACACACACGTACGGCAGTCGGAGCGTCGTAAAAAAACAGAGGGCAAGGGAGAGTAGGAGTGAGGTCGAGGGGGAGGAAGAGGTGGAGGAGGAGTATGAGGAGGAGTAGGGGTGGAGGAGGACGAGGAGAGAGGTAGAGAAGGAGATGAGGAGGAGTAGGGTAGAGGAGGACGAGGAGGAAGAGGAGGACGAGGAGGAGGAAGTAGAGGAGGAGGGGCAGGAGGTAGGGGAGGTGAAAGAGGTGAAAGAGGAGGAGGAATAAGAACGGGAGGATTGGAATGATGAGAACGGCGAGGAAAACAAGACAGAAGAAGATAATAAAGAAGACAAGAATAGGTGGAAATGACGGACTTCTCTCTGACCTCCCCTGGCCTGGGAATCGAAGGAGACCACTAGAACTCCTGCAGGAACCAATCAACCAATATATAGAGACTCTCTCACGTATATCCAAATGGACGACCTGCTCAGCATTGCCATTAAGAGACCACATACCCCAACCTTAAATCAGTATCTGACACCTGTACCTTCACACTACAACAGGTGACTAGTACCGGCTAGTTGATGCTTTAACATGTTGGCTACCCCCCCTTTCTATACATACCACAGAAATATATTATTTTGTAGAAATTGAAATAATGTAGTAATTACGTGTGATAATCTAAATAGCATTATGGTGTTTTAAATCATATGACCTTGCCTGTTTGGGGTCAGGCAAGTACTACCCAGCACGTTGCCCTGAACCCATGAGCGACCATGACCAGGTGAAGCCGACCACCACTGATGGCCCAACAGCACCCGAGGCCGTAACAGAGATGGTGTGATGTCAGGGTAAGGGAGACAGTTCCTCACAGAGATGTTCCTGCAGTGTACCGACCTCTGTCTGTGTACCATACAGTGTAGTGACCTCTGTCTGTGTGCCATACAGTGTAGTGACCTCTGTCTGTGTACCATACAGTGTAGTGACCTCTGTCTGCGTACCACACACAGTGAAAATGATACACACACTCTGAACACGGTGTTTTGGACGATAGTGATAACCGACTGTGCCAGAGTAAATGATATTATACAGTACGTGAACACAACTTAAGGTACGAGTCATAAGAAGAGAAGAAATGTCATCCTTGTATACGATATTGGTAACGTATGATTTAATTTGAAAAAAAAAATTAATGTTGAATTTCTTTCTTCCAATTATATATAGCTGAATATAGTTACGTGACTTAGAACTGTAAGTGGAGACAATAGAGACCCAGGAAAAAAAAATATTACGTTACTTACATATAGAGAGGGTAGCACCAACTGAAGCATCTCCCATATGGGCCGAACAGCATGGAGGTGTAGGCTGTAAGGCGGAGTAGCATAATGAGTTCCTGAGTCCTTACTGGGGGGTCGACAGCGAGCATCACAAGATCAGGCTCGGACCCCTGCACCCCCGGCACCACCAGGAAGAGCTGACGACTTTTTGACATTAACGAAAAAGTTGAAGAAAAAAAATTAAAATAAAAGTAACACATAACTATTTAAAATTAGTGTTGTGATTCACTGTGTTATTTGGGGATGTTACAGAGTTATAGTGACTCTTATTGTGATGATGATGATGATGTTACAGTTATAGTGACTCTTATTGTGATGATGATGATGTTACAGAGTTATAGTGACTCTTGTTGTGATGATGATGATGTTACAGAGTTATAGTGACTCTTGTTGTGATGATGATGATGATGTTACAGAGTTATAGTGACTCTTGTTGTGATGATGATGATGTTACAGTTATAGTGACTTGTTGTGATGATGATGATGATGTTACAGAGTTATAGTGACTTGTTGTGATGATGATGATGTTACAGAGTTATAGTGACTTGTTGTGATGATGATGATGTTACAGAGTTATAGTGACTCTTGTTGTGATGATGATGATGATGATACAGAGTTATAGTGACTCTTATTGTGATGATGATGATGTTACAGAGTTATAGTGACTTGTTGTGATGATGATGATGTTACAGAGTTATAGTGACTCTTGTTGTGATGATGATGATGTTACAGAGTTATAGTGACTTGTTGTGATGATGATGATGTTACAGAGTTATAGTGACTCTTATTGTGATGATGATGATGATGTTACAGAGTTATAGTGACTCTTGTTGTGATGATGATGATGTTACAGAGTTATAGTGACTTGTTGTGATGATGATGATGTTACAGAGTTATAGTGACTCTTGTTGTGATGATGATGATGATGTTACAGAGTTATAGTGTTGTGATGATGATGATGTTACAGAGTTATAGTGACTCTTGTTGTGATGATGATGATGATGTTACAGAGTTATAGTGACTCTTATTGTGATGATGATGATGATGTTACAGAGTTATAGTGACTCTTGTTGTGATGATGATGATGATGTTACAGTTATAGTGACTCTTGTTGTGATGATGATGATGATGTTACAGAGTTATAGTGACTCTTGTTATGATGATGATGATGATGTTACAGAGTTATAGTGACTCTTGTTGTGATGATGATGATGTTACAGTCATAGTGACTCTTGTTGTGATGATGATGATGTTACAGAGTTATAGTGACTCTTATTGTGATGATGATGATGTTACAGAGTTATAGTGACTCTTATTGTGATGATGATGATGTTACAGTTATAGTGACTCTTGTTGTGGTGATGATGATGATGTTACAGAGTTATAGTGACTCTTATTGTGATGATGATGATGTTACAGAGTTATAGTGACTCTTATTGTGATGATGATGATGTTACAGAGTTATAGTGACTCTTATTGTGATGATGATGATGATGATGTTACAGAGTTATAGTGACTCTTGTTGTGATGATGATGTTACAGAGTTATAGTGACTCTTATTGTGATGATGATGATGATGTTACAGAGTTATAGTGATTCTTATTGTGATGATGATGATGTTACAGAGTTATAGTGACTCTTATTGTGATGATGATGTTTGTTATTGTGGTTAAAGAAGAAGACTATTGATACGATTTTCAAATAACTCACACATGCACACGAACACACACGCACGCACGCACACAAATCTCCTCGGAATCGCTATAAATAATAAACTGAATTGGAAAGCACAACTGTCAAATCTTCCAGCTTCTGTCTCCACCTCCAACGATGTCTCAAGTTAGGTTAGGTTAGGTTAGGTCAGGTTAGGTCAGGTTAGGTCAGGTTAGGTTAGGTCAGGTTAGGTTAGGTTAGGTTAGGTTAGACTATAAAGCTTCAAAATCAGTGTGAACTCCCTGTACAGTGGAAGGTTTGAACCCGTTACATGACCCATTAACGTGTTTTCTTATCAGTAGTTGTCATGTTTCTTCTCAATGTTAGACTTTTAATGTTTTAAGTCGTGATGTGGATATGAATATTATTAACATCTCTCTCTCCTTCCCTCTCTCACCTTCCCTCAGGCCCAGGATGCTGAAACACGTGGGTCCCTACCGCTCCACTTCGTCCTTGACCCGCACCTCAAGTACGAGTCTAAGGCGTCCAGATGACACCTCACCCTCGACCTACAAGAAGAGCCTCGATGTCGTGGACGGTGATGAGGATTCAAGTAGTTCTCCAGAGAGTCTCAGAAGATGTCAGAGTTCACCAGAGTCTTACGCCAGTGACTTTGGGTCCCCAAGGATCTACAAGAAAGCTCATGATCCTTTAGGAACCCTGGAGATCGAAAGGACCTCTCACCATGAGCCTCCGGAGTCCTTCAAAATAAACCTCAGTGATCAGGACTCCATCGAGGATGAGTCTAGTTCGCCAGAGATGTCGAAGAAGGACCTAGCTCGTCCTTCAACGCTTCCTCGTCGGGGAGGTCACAGGACTCTTGATGGTGTCTCAGTCGAGGGACAAGTCCTTCGAAAGTCCTTCAAGTCTGAGGACTCCTGCAGCCTCCACTCTACCTGCAGCTTCTCCTCCCTGGCCACCAGCAAGCTGAGCTCAAGGTGTTCCTCGACGTCGTCCTTGACAGATCAAACTATGGTAAGTGAAGGAGTAGTCTTGTTGGCCGCAGTTGGTTGTTACTCTTCCTCTCTATTATTTATATTTCTCTTTTACTTCTCCTTCGTCTTCTCCCTCTTCTACACTTCTCCCTTTTGTCTTTATTCCTATTCCTATCCATATACGAGTAGTCCGTTAAAGAGAGGTTTCATATCTAACGGACACCTCGAAATAGCGGAATTTCCTCTCCATACAGTCCGTTAAATAAAGTTGTCTCTGTATCTACCATCAACCTTTTACCTCTACGATAAAGAACCCATTTGACCTTTGACACACAGTTACACCAGCTATCGTTGGGGCTACTGTAGAAACAAGAGAGTATTGTGCTAGTGGGTGGTGGATGTCTCTCTCTGTCTCTCTATCTATCTCTCTTTGTCTCTTTCTCTTTATCTCTACCTCTCTTTCCATGATCACCTGCTCACAGAACATTATAACCCCCCCCCCCCCTTCTATAATTCCCCCTCCACCTAGGTATTTCCCCAACTCATTAAACATAACTTAATATCTACGTCACCTGTCTTACCTTAATCACACCTGCGTCTCAAGAACCCACTGAGTCACCCTAGCATGGCAGGTGACGGTGGAGGGGAGGGGGGGGGGGTGGTAGGTAGGTTCCCACGCTAAATGAGTCTAGTCAACCAGCGTGTCTGCCAACCTTGCTAGTCAGGACTCAAGACTGCCTATGTGTCAACCAGTCAATTAGTTAATAAGACAGTCAGCTAGAATATCAGTCAGTCAAGGTATTTAGTCGATCGTACAGCCAGACAGTCAATCAATAACTAAACTTGTCACTCAGCCAAGCACCTACCCACCCAATCACCCACCGACCCACCCAATCACCCACCGACCCACCCATTCACCCACCACCTGTCCCAAAGTCATTTCCTCTCTCTATCATATTTTTTCATCTCTCTATCAACTCTCATGTCCACGTTAAAAGACCAAGGGAGGGAGGGAAGGAGAGGAGGGAGGGAGGGGAGAGGAGGTGGGAGGGATGGGAGGGAGGGAGGGGAAAAGAGGTGGGAGGGATGGGAGGGAGGGATGAGAGAGAGGGAAGTGAAGTAGGGGACCATACAGGTGAGTTACTGATGACAGGTAGGATAAACAGTGGGGCTTTACATTAATCACAGGTGCTAATGGTCTTCACTTAGGATGGAATGTTATGTATTTGGACAACATTACAGTGAGGGCAGTACAGGTAGAGAGGGGCAGTACAGGTAGGGATACAGGTAAGGGGCAGTACAGGTAGAAAGAGGGGCAGTACAGGTAGAGAGAGGGGCAGTACAGGTAGAGAGAGGGGCAGTACAGGTATAGAGTGGGGCAGTACAGGTAAACAGAGGTAGATTACAGGTAACAGGTAAAATTGAAAGAAATGTTGAGAGAGAGAGAGAGAGAGAGAGAGAGAGAGAGAGAGAGAGAGAGAGAGATTACATACACACGTTGCTGTAAGTCAGATAACAGGACTCAGAAGTATTGCGTCTAGCCAAAGGTTACCAGAACAGTGGATTTCTATTTTTTTATATAACAGGACTTACTTCATTCCACACACACACACACACACACACACACACACACACACACACACACACACACACACACACACACACACACACACACACACACACACAGCAGATTTAAACAAGGCTAACTTATACACTTAAGAAAAAGTGAAAGTGTCTTACGAAAAGTTGCTGAGTGATTGTGAAGGAGCATATAAGACCCACCTGAAGATCTGCCACCCCACCTTATTTCACCTGGTGACTAACCTAACCCAACCCAACCAACTCTAACATAACCTAACCTAAACTAACCAACCCTAACCAAACCTAACCTAACCTCCCTCTCCCTTCCCAGGTTAGGTTACGATGTTCATACTCAACAGATGAAATACTCTGGGGTGTCTAATCTTCAGGTAGTGTCCTTAGGTTACTGAAGAATGTTGGAATATAAGTAATAGGAAGATGATTAATGGGAAAGGAAAGAAAGTAGAGAATAGGGAAAGGTGATAAAGATGAAATGGAAACAAAGGAAAACAAGAAGGCAAAGAACATAAGAACATAAGAATGGAGGAAACTGCAGCGGGCCTATTGGCCCATACTGGGCAGTCCCGTTTACACCCAACCCCTATTGCTCATATGAGCATCCAACCTATGTTTGAAGCTATTCAGCGTATTCCAGTTAATGATGATATTTGGTAACTTGTTCCACTCTGTCCACTACTCTGTTTCCAAACCAGTGTTTAAACCTATTTCACTTGAGTACCTTTGTAATGTCCTTGTTTAGCCCTGACTTCCATTTATACACATCTATCAGGTCGCCCCTCGCTCTACGTCTCTCGAGGGAGTGCAAATTAAGATGCTTTAACCTGTCTCTATACTCAAGGTTCCTAATGCCGGGATTAGTCTTGTCATTCTCCTCTGAATTCTTTCCAAGGATTCTATATCCATTCTGTAATACGGTGACCAGAACTGAACTGCGTAATCCAGGTGTGGTCTCACAAGCGCAAGATACAGTTTTAGGATGACCTCTCTAGTCTTGTAACTAACACTCCTTTGTATGAACCCAAGTACTTTATTAGCCTTGTTACGAGCAAAAACACATTGTTTACTTGGCTTAAGGTTCCTACTTATCATTACTCCTAAATCTCTCTCGCAGTCGGATTTCTCTATGGCATCGTTGTTCATCTGGTATCTGGTTTCCCTGTTTACATCTCCTATACTGAGTACTTTACATTTGTCCACGTTGAATTTCATCTGCCATTTTTCAGACCATTCGAAAAATTTGTTTAGATCTTCCTGTAGTTTTGCCGAATCCTCGTCAGATTTAATAACACGTCCTATTTTAGTGTCATCAGCAAATTTACTTATGTTGCTGTCAATGCCGATATCTATGTCGTTTATGTACATAATAAATAATAATGGTCCAAGTACTGAGCCTTGGGGAACTCCACTAGTGACGTTGCTCCAATGGGATGACGTTGCTCCAATGGGAAATATCATAAAGACATAAAAAAATAAGAATAATTTTCATATTATTTAATTTATTGTCAATGAGAGATTCTAAGACATAACGACACGATAAGACTCTGAGTGTTGAGGTATACTTAAGTCTATTAACATGAGAGACTCACTACGTCAGGTGGTCGAGGCTCAATTGTTGACTACACCTGAAAGTCTCTCTTATCACCTGTGTTGTTTACCTGGGCAGTGGTGCGTCTTGCCTCACCTGCCTCGTCTCATCAGATGTTGGACGAGTTTATAATGAATTTTTTTTAGGCAGCTTTTGGTGTTGTTTTCGCTACTACTACTACGACTACTACTACTACCCCCCTCTACCACCATTCCTATAGTATTACGACCCCCTCCTATACCACTGCTACTATCCTCACTATCACCACCAACATCACAATCATCTTTCACAACTACTAACGTCATTTCTCCGCTACCACCACTACCCTTGACCACCACCACTACTACCACCACTACTACCACTACTGTACTCTTCTCTTATGACTATTACCACCAGCATTTTCCTCTTCTCCCCTCCTTGATTATGGACAAAACATCCATCCTTTTCCTCTCTCTCTCTCTCTTTCATTATTCCAAGAGAGAGAGAGAGAGAGAGAGAGAGAGAGAGAGAGAGAGAGAGAGAGAGAGAGAGAGAGAGAGAGAGGGAGAGAGATTAACTGTCTAGCTGCCGGGGGCCCAACACACTCCAACAGAACGACCTTGGCCAAACCTTCTGCCGCGTGCTGTTTGTTTGTATCACACACACAACACAGGTGAGACAGCACGGTATCTTATTAGTAAATTTCTGGGTAATTTGATTTGTGAAATTTTCAGTCAGTATATCTATATTTAGCTAGTGTGTGTGTGTGTGTGTGTGTGTGTGTGTGTGTGTGTGTGTGTATGTGTGTTATCTCTTTCTCTCACCTGTTCGTGGGGAGATGGGGGTTGAGGGGTGATGGGGTGGATGGGAGGTATGGATGGGTGAGGTGTGGAATGGTGAAGGAATGGGTGAAGTATTAAGATGGTAAGGTGTGATAAGGAGGTAATGGGGGAAGGAGAATGAGTTAGTGATGGGAAGGGTAGTGAGGGAGGGAGATGTGGAGGGAGATGGGAAGGAGGGAGATGAAAGGGTGTTGGAAGAGGGAGATGGGACGGGAGGTGAAGGGGAAGGTGAAGGGGAGATGCTGGGTTAATAATTACATGGTCTGTTAAGTGTCTTGATGGGCGAGAGAGGGAATGGGTAACTGATGGGGAGTGTGGAGTAATGGGTGGAATGGGTAGGTGGTAGAATAAGATAATGAATTACTAAGCGCCATAATGGGTGTTGCGAGGAATGGGGTGACTGACATCTTGCGTGGTATGGTAGAGAAATAATGGGTAGTGCTAATGGTGGTGAGTGGTGGTGGTGATGGTGATGATGATGGTGAATGGTACTGATAATGATGGTGAATGGTGATGAGTGGTAATGATAGTGAGTGGTGTTGAGTGGTCTGACAGGTTCCAAGAAGCGTGTGACCTTAAGATGTGGTTAGTCAGATTCACTACACAGGTGACGTAGACTCGTTCAGGGAAGGTGGTGTTGGAATGTCACATCAACACACATTGACTCGTGACCTTTAATATAGTCAGTGGTGAGTCATGTGATGTGTTAGTCAGTGGTGAGTCATGTGATGTGTTAGTCAGTGGTGAGTCATGTGATGTGTTAGTCAGTGGTGAGTCATGTGATGTGTTAGTCAGCAGAGTCATGTGATGTTAGTCAGTGGTGAGTCATGTGATGTGTTTTATTACATACTGATCTACGCCTGGTATGATACATTGTGGGTGTTAGTAGTGGTGGTGGTAGTGGTGGTGGTGGTGGATGATAGTGGTGGTGGTGGTGGTGGTGGTGGTGGTGGTGATGGTGGTGATGATGATGGTGGTGGTGGTGGTGGTGATGATAGTGGTGGTGGTGATGGTGGTGTAGTGGTGGTGGTG